TGGTTAATTATTTAAAATAAATGCATGCATAGGTCGAAATATGTAATATGTACATATTGTGTACATGCATATGTATGCGAGAGATACAATTTTGTGAATCTAAAAAGTGAAAGTTATGCAAATATGTAGTATGATGCAATTGGCAAATTCGTGGCTGATTTGCCGTCGGCATTTGGGTTGAAAAAATCGACTTTTACTTTTTTACCGATTCATATGGTAGATGCTACGCTATTTTCAATGCAACAAACCACAGTTTTCTAGCTGCCTTAGTTTTTCCCCAAATTCACTTTAAACACCAACACATTGACCAAAAAACGCAAATGCGCACTGTTTGGTGATTTGATGTCGGCATTAAAAGCGAAGAAAATCGGTTTTTATATATTTAACGATTCTAATGGTAGTTTATAGACACGATATTTTCAATGCAACAAACTGCAGTTTTCTAGCTGCCATAGTTTTCCCACAAATCCACTTCAAAGATGGATACATTGACAAAACGCGTACAAATGCATTGATTGCACTGCACGTGTAAACTTCAAAGTTGTTTTTGTCGAAGTTATTTATATTGAGAAAATAAGTTGCATTATCATTTTTCACTGTTTTTCATAGTAAAAATAAAGTCGACACTAAAGTTAGTTACAGCTTTTTCACATCATTTTCAATGGATTAGGCATCTGTGAAAAAAAGATGCAACTAATTTCTTTCTTTTTTGGGACTGAGAAACTTTAACTTATTTGGTCTACGAATATGCCCCAATAGTTTTGGAGTCAAATGAAAATGCATTTCCCCCATGCATACGTACTCCATTAACTGATAACGTTTTTACATGCGTACATATATATGTATGTATGTGCATATTACTGCCAAAATACTACGCACATACACACAAATGTACATATTTACAACTCACGGCAGCATACATACATATGCACATAATTACGCGCATACTCAAATACAACAATAACTATTTCTTTCATAACGCATGCGCGCATTTCTCAAGGCCAAGTAAATTCATTCATAAAAATAACCGCAGCACATCTCCCCGCAAATTCATCACCAACAAGCGCAACTTTGTCAATCCGACACAAAAATTCTAAAATCTTAAAATGAAGAAATCTCGGCCAGCCAAGTGAAAATTGGCAATTATTTCTCTATATCCAGTAAAATAAGTTATCTCGAATCTTGGCAATTTTTGGTAATTTTTGACAAAACACTCTATTTCTCTGTTCCATACCAATATTTCAATCATTAACTAGTATTTTAAAGTGTCATCTTAATAAACATTAAATAAAAGTGTACGTTTTCTGCAGCAAAATACATTAATTTTTTTTTAATAAAATCAAAACTTGTAAAATCACAAACATATGTGGTTTTATCGGAAGTTCACAGATGTAACGTGGCAACTTAGCTCGTTTTCATATTTTTCGGTCCGAAATTGTAAAATTTTTGTCCATGCCGCGCCACAATTTTTGTACAGGTGGGTCAATGTGCCTTGAACAAAATTTATATATATACAAAAAAATTATTTTATTTATTTTTTAAAATTAAAATTTTCTATACTTCAAAGCGTTTATAAAAATATATTTACATATATGCACGGACGATTTTTAATATTTTTCAACCGTAAGCAAATCTTCAGTACCGTAAAAGATTCAAACACATCAAAGTACAAGCAATGCAATGTTCAACCTAGTGCTACTCCACTGTACATGTGTATATGAATATATGCATGTATGCGTGTAAAAAATGTCAATTCCAGTTGGTCTTTAACCCATTTAGCGGACATAGTTTTTTTGGTTTCAGCTGGTTGCAACTGTTAATGAAGCACAATTTTTATGTTTAATCTTTATGAAAGTTACATGTATCGTCGAGAACATGGTTATATGCAGAATTTTAAATTAATTAATATTATTCACCATACAAAATGTACGAGTATTGCTTTATTAAATGCAAACTTATGCGAAAATGTAAATATTTCGCAAACATGGGGTTAATGATTTCGCGCACGTGCCAATCTGGTGCCGATTCGCAGAAATCGAATAATTTGTGTAGATGGAAGCGGCGAGGGGAAGACGAAAGCAGAACAATCGTGTATATGTATGTTTATATGTACATTTATAAATGCATACATACTTACATTCTCATTTGTTTGTCTTTTTGGATGCATGAAAAATTTGGTAGCAGAAATAGGTAATGAAATGAAGTTTACAAATATGTGCTTTATAAATTTAGGTTTAGTTATTAATAAATTAGATATGTAAATGACAATGTGGGGGACAAATATGCACATGAGTAGCGGAGCTGCCACTTACACGACTTTATTAGAACATATTTGAAAACTGAATAAATATTGAAAATGTTGAAAAATTTGTTAAATAGTTTCGGCTTAGATTAGCGTGATCTTTACTAATTGCTGCGAAAATCCGACGTTTTCAGATTTTAAGTATTTTTAAAAAAAGTTTCCAAGTCGAAAATAATTAAAAACTGAATTATTTCCATAAATATCGAAAATATGGAAAAAATTCATACAGACTTTCGACTTAGTTTTGTGAGATCTCTACAAAAAAAAAGGAAAATAATTCTTTTCACAGGTTTTTTTTTAGTCCAATACCAATAGTTTTTTACTTGAAAATAACACAAAAATTGGAAAATGTTATATAATATTTTCGATTTATTTGAACGTTGTGTGTACAAATCACCGAGAAGAAATTATTTTTTCCCCTAAAAACTATTCACAAAAAAAATCTAATACCAATAGTTTTATAATTGAAAATCTAACAACATATTACAAAAATCGAAAAATGCTATATAACCTTTCGATTTATTTTCACAGTATTTGTGGAAATCACCGGGGAAAAGGATTTTTGTATAAAAAAATATTTTCACAAAAAAACACAAACACATGGGACTTTTCTATTTGCAATTATTAATAAAATATCACAAAAATCGGGAATGTTATATACTATTTTCGATTTAATTTCATGTTACTTGTACAAATCATTGAACAAAAATTTAATTTCTTTTACTTGGGTTTTCTATTTGAAAATTTTCCCAAAATATCACAAAAATCTTCAATATTCATGTTTAATTAACATTCCAAATGCTCTCGTGAGATTTAGCTCTGTTAATATTCTGCTTTTCTGCTTTGTATTTTGCTTTCGCTGTTAAGTATACCAAATATTTGTCGCTCTTAAAATGCGCTTCGCCAGTTTAGTTGGCTCGAAAAATGTGGCATTCACAGTTCTTGGACCTTCTCTATAAATATACGTTCTCTGCATTTGGTATGTTGTGCGAAGGCCAACAACTGTGCCAAGTTTGGAAGAAATTGGTGCAGCGGTTACCAAGATATACACATGTAACCATAAGTGGGCGTAGCTACGCCCATTTTCCGAAAATTTACAATATTCTTATTTTTCGTCTAAAACTTATTGTAAATATCAATTTTGAGTGAATAATCTCCGGTAGTTACTAAAATATCGCAGTTTTCGTATTTCTGAAAATTACCATTATATGGGAAGTGGGCGTGGTTACAGTCCGATTTCGCTCAAAACCAACCTACCTTGGATAAATGGAAACCTACATACCAAATTTCGTTGAGATATCTCAATTTTTGCTAGAGTTATCGTGTACACGGATGGACGGACAGACAGACATGGCTTAATCGATTTCTCTTTTCATTCTGATCATTTATGTATACATTTGTCTATATCTATCTCGATTCGATTTGGCTGTTACAAACAACCGTTATGTGAACAAAATTAATATACCCTTGTGCACAAGTGCGCTCGGGTATAAAAAGAGTAAATAACAAAAGAAAATCAAATAAAAATAAAATAAAGTAAAAGAATACAAATAAAGAAAATTAAAAGTGAAAAAAATAAATTAAATTAAAGACAATCGAATCCACTGAAATAAAACAAATAATTTTTAACAAAAAAAAAACCCGACATAAAAACAAAATATATATATATATATATTTCATGATCCAATGATCGGATCTTAACCAGATTAGTATGGGCCCACCTCTGAGATAGTACCTCTCCGAGGCAAAAAGAATTATCGAAATCGGTCGACCTCTAGGAAAGAAAAACAGCAAAATTCAAGTTGATTTCAAAAAGAGTCCAATTAAGTGAGCATTTGAATAATTGATGGTTATTAAAAGGCGACCATCGAACTAATGGACAAGCCGCAGAGATGCGACTTCTGACTGTCCAAATGAGTAATGACCAACAGGCACTGGTCCATACATATGTATTTATGTACATAAGGGTGGTCCAAAACGAGGAATGTCGGAATTTTAATGCTCTCACCCCCTAGGTTTGTTCTATGTGGAAAAAAATATACCCCCAATTTTTTATTTTGAAATAAAAAAAAATATTTAGAGGACGCTCAAAGCGCTTAAAGTTTTTCATGTATTTTATATGGGGAAAAACAAATTTTTGTAGAAATGGTAGGGAATTCATGAAAATCAATATTTTTCGATCGGAGAACTCTGGTTCTCTTCAGGAGACTTCCAATATTACTACCCAATTGTTTATTTAACCATTTTTTAATACCAACGATTTTTTTATTAGAGCCCTCATTGCATTTTTAGGGGGGTTTTGGGGGTTTTTGATTGACCTATAAATTATAGTTACTACGAAAAAATTGTGATATTATTACAGGGAATCTCCTGCAGAGAAGCAGAGTTTTCCCATCGCAAAATATTGATTTTTAAGAACTCTATACCATTTCTACGAAAAGTTGTTTTTTTCCCCATATGAAATACATGGAGAACTTTGAGCGCTTTGAGCGACCAATAAATTTTTTTTGATTTCAAACTAAAAATAGGAGTATTTTTTCGGCCTAGGACAATACTAGGAGTGAGTGCATAATAATTCCGACTTTACTTTATCTCATCAATTTTTGTACCACCCTAATGAACATGCGTAGAGATGTGGGTAGTTACATAGAAGAACAATTTTGCATATGGACTACAAATGTGAAGCAGAGTAGACGCCATTGCGAAAAAGAAATACGCACGCAATTTTAAATGTTTTTTGCTCGTACGAATGCGTAACTGAATGTTTGTATGTCTGTGCAACCAATATTAGCTGCTATTTGGAGCTTTGTTGCGCCACATGGCGTCGAACGCCAATGACCAATAAAATACGCCAACAAATGAAAAGGTTAAGCCGCCAAATTAAAATTTGTGCAAACAGGGCGCACAGTAAACGAACAGCAGAAGCAATGAAAACAAACAATAACAAGGAAAAAATACATACATACATGTGGGGTGGAAACCCTAACTCGAATATCCAGCTGTAAGAAGTGAAGAATGATGGCAACTACTGGTAGAGCGAAGACAAAATTGCGAAGAACGACGAGTGAGTTAAGACAAAGACGGCGGAAAAGACGGTTCGCTTTTAAAGACGTACATATCTGTATAATAATCCTGAATTTTAACTTTCAATTTCATTTTGTTTAATTCTAAATAAATGCTACTACTTTGCTTGTACTTTAATTTGATATCGATAAACTTTGTAATTAATAAACTTTGAGTGAAGAATTACCATAAATATGGGGGCTCAACCAATGCCTTGTAGTGCGGTAGTGTAATTTATAAAAACGGTTTAATTTCTTAATTCGTGTGACCGAAAAACAAGTAGCAACAATCCTGTGACTGAATTAATGTGATTAAATAAAAGAAATTTGCATTTCACAATGTCGCGTTTGTTTGATTTCGAGAATGTTCGAAGAAATTTGCGTGTTTCCAATAAGAAAAATATTGTGGCTTTACATAAGTATGTATTTGGGAGAGAAGGCGACAGAGACAACAGAAAACGATTAAGAGAGTTCGCGGGTTTTGATTTCAATGAATACGATGAAAAATATGCAAAGAAGTGCGAATATATTAAACAAAACCTAAAGGAGTGCGATTTAATTTCAATTTGTAATTTGCTTACAATTAATTACGATGAACATGATATGATACTGCATATTTTCCACAATCTGCAAAATGGACATTTGTTAAATGAAGGTTGTCGCGATGAAGATAGTGAAACAGAGAACGAAGACGATGAAGTTGAAAGTGAAGAGAATATTAGTGAAAACGAATCGGCAGGCCACGCAGGCGCCAACGCGACCAACGAGTATAAGAAAGCTACAAAAATGCAAAACAGAGAAGGTAGCGCACGCCGAAAGCGTCAACAGAGTGAAATGAGCAACGAGTGTTTCGTGTCGGTAGAAAACGAAGAAAACGGTGTAAACAAAAATATACCCAGAATGCAATTACCGAAATTCGTGATGAACTTCCGCGATATCGAGGACTCTATCCGTATGTTTGATGGCACCGAAAAAATGCCGGTAAACGTGTGGATTGCAGAATTCGAAGAGACTGCAGCAATGATGGGGTGGGATGATTTCCAAAAATTTGTATTCGCAAAGAAATCACTCAAAGGTATTGCTAAATTGTTTGTGTCTAGCGAGAGGGGTATAGTTTCGTGGAATAAACTGAAGGCTGCATTGCTTAGCGAGTTTAAAACAACAACAAATAGCGCAACGCTTCACAAACAAATGTCTGAAAGGAAAATAAAGAGTGATGAGTGTATACAAGAATATTTTTTTACGATGCGTGAAATGGCATCAAGGGGAAATATTGACGACAATGCGTTGATGCAATATGTCATTGACGGCATACGAGATTTGAGTGTTAATAAATCTATTTTATACAATGCCACAAATATGCAAGATTTTAAGAGCAAATTAAAATGCTATGAAAAAATTCGTGAAAAGAATAATGAATTTAATGCCCAGACGAGTGACAAGAAGTCAGTAATAAACAAAAGAAATAGAGACATTATTTGTTTTAATTGTGGTGGAAAAGACCATTTATCAAGCAATTGCGAAAATAAAGCGTTAGGACGCAAATGCTTTAAGTGTAATAAATTTGGGCACATAGCGAATGAATGTGGTGTGAAAAAAGATAGCAAACCCAAAACAAATGTTAATTATATGAGTACAGAAGACGATGCCTTGAACAAAAGTATTGAAATAGGCGGAAAGAAATTCATCGCCTTATTAGACACTGGAAGTAAATTCAATTTGGTTACACAAAATGTATTTCAACATTTAAATAAGCCTGAACTGCGCGAGGTACAAATTCAATTAGTGGGTGTTGGTGAAAAACGCAATGAAAATAAAATTAAACCAATTGGTAGTTTCAAAGAAACTGTAAGAATTGATGACGATTATTTTGAAATGAACTTTTTAGTAATTCCATCAAAATGCATAGACGTCGAAGTTGTTATAGGGCGTGAAATATTGCAAGAAGCCTGGATAAGTTTAAAAGGGGGTAACGTTTTCATTCGAAAGTTAAATTCAAGTAAAGACTTTTCTTTTTTAAAAATAGACGTCGAGTTTAAATACAAAAGCCAAAGTATGTGCAATGATTAATAATTATAAGCCCAATGGGCAAAAGTGCACGAATGTTGTTATGGACATTATTGTAACAGACGAAACGCCTATATGTTCAAGACCGCGTAGGCTGCCGTTTACCGAAAGATGTATCGTCGACAGTAAAATTGACGAATGGCTAAAAGAAGGCATTATCGAACCAAGTGAGTCAGAATTTTCTAGCCCAATAGTCCTTGTAAGAAAACGCGATGGTTCGCCTAGACTTTGTATCGATTATAGGCGAATCAATAGAGTAATAATAAAAGACAATTTTCCTTTGCCTCTGATCGAGGATCAATTAGAGGGACTGCAGGATGCAACCATATTTAGCACGATTGATTTAGAAAACGGTTTCTTCCACGTTCCCGTGGCTCAAGCTAGCCGAAAATATACAGCCTTTGTGACCCACAGTGGTCAATTCCAGTTTTGTAAGGTTCCTTTTGAATTAACCAACTCACCAGCAGTTTTTCAACGCCACATCAACGCGGTTTTTCGAGAACTTACACGCAAAGGCATAGCACTGCCATACGTTGATGACATAATTATTCCCGGTAAAGACGAAAATGAAGCATTAAGCAATTTGCAAGAAGTTATTGATTTATGTGCTGATTACCAATTGAAGCTAAATTTGAAAAAATGTCAGTTTCTGAAAAAGAAAATCGAGTTTTTGGGGCATGTTATTGAAAATAAACAAGTGGCACCATCAGAACGCAAAGTTGAGGCAATTTCAAAATACAAAATGCCACAGAACATGAAGCAATTGCAAAGTTTTCTGGGTTTAGCAAGCTATTTTCGTAAATTCATAAAAAATTTTGCTGTAATAACCAAACCTTTGACAGACTTAATGAAGAAAGACGTAAAATTGGAAATTGGTCCAAACCAAATAAACGCTTTTAATGTCGTAAAACAAATTTTGACTGAAAAACCCGTACTTAAAATTTTTAACCAGAAGTGTGAGACGGAAATCCATACAGATGCCTCCATCGAGGGTTATGGAGCTATACTATTACAGAAATATCCAGAAGACGGCCAACTTCACCCCGTGTATTACATGAGTAAAAAAACGTCGGATGCTGAGCGGAAATTTTGCAGTTATGAACTGGAAATACTGGCTGTCATAGTAGCGTTGAAAAATTTTCGAGTCAAGAGAAATCCACATTTAACGACTTTATTCTCAAAGGGGATTTGCTTTACAAAATTGTTAAGGATTCTGAACTCTTGGTAGTCCCTCGAGCGCTACAGCGAGAAATAATTAGGAACGCACATGAGAGAGGCCATTTTGCTTTGAAGAAGACTAAAGATCTCATCACAAAAGAATACTTCATTCCGAATTTAGAAGAAAAAATAAAACAACACATATCTTGCTGTATAACATGTATTATCTCGAATCGTAAACAAGGTAGACAGGAAGGGGAGTTACATCCAATTCGAAAAGACGATATTCCTTTGTATACGTATCACATTGATTTTGTGGGTCCACTGGAAACGACGTGCAAGCAATATAAGCATATACTGGTTGTTGTAGACGCGTTCACCAAATTTTGTTGGCTATATCCCACAAAATTTACGTCAGCCGATGAAGTTATTAAAAGATTGCGAAGTCAAAGCGTACTTTTTGGAAATCCCTATCAGATTATATCCGATCGTGGGTCTGCTTTTACATCAGACGCCTTCAAACAATATTGTGAGCTTGAGAATATCATTCATCGGAAAATAACCACTGGTCTTCCACGCGCAAACGGCCAGGTGGAACGAATAAACGACGTTGTGAGTACAGTTTTAACTAAACTTAGTACAGATGACTCAACGAAATGGTATAAATACGTTGAGAAAGTCCAGCAAGTTCTTAATTCAACATTCTCCAGAAGTATTGATATGACGCCATTTGAACTGCTCGTAGGTGTCAAAATGAGAACGAAAGAAGATGTCAAGCTTTAAGAATTAATTGAAAAGCAATTCGTTGAATCATTTAGCGAAGACCGAGTTGAACTACGTAAGCATGCAAAATCTCAAATCCTAAAGACGCAAACTGAAAACAAAAAAAGCTACAATCTACGACGAAAACCACCGAAAACATACAAAATCAGTGACTTAGTGGCGATAAAAAGGACGCAGTTTGGTGGGGGACTTAAACTAAAACCGAAGTATTTGGGTCCGTACCAAGTTATTAAAGTCAAACCAAGCGATACTTATGACGTCATAAAGGTGGGCAATAGTGAAGGTCCACGAAACACGACGACATGTGCTGAATACATGAAGCCATGGTTATTTCACATCGACGACGACGACGGTACATTCGAGGCGAATGTGTAATAGGATGGCCGAATGTGGGGTGGAAACCCTAACTCGAATATCCAACTGTAAGAAGTGAAGAATGATGGCAACTACTGGTAGAGCGAAGACAAAATTGCGAAGAACGACGAGTGAGTTAAGACAAAGACGGCGGAAAAGACGGTTCGCTTTTAAAGACGTACATATCTGTATAATAATCCTGAATTTTAACTTTCAATTTCATTTTGTTTAATTCTAAATAAATGCTACTACTTTGCTTGTACTTTAATTTGATATCGATAAACTTTGTAATTAATAAACTTTGAGTGAAGAATTACCATATACATATAAGTAAAGTAACAAATATTGCTGAAATTAAATTGATAAACCACAAATTAATTGGATGGTCGGTGGCAGAGTGTGGCTGGTGGATCTGCTGTACATACATATGTATGTACATATGTATAATGATTATCGTACTCGTTGGAGAGCGCCAAGCGCACTGTCGCCACACGCCAATGGAGCCATGCCAATGCGGATGATGATATGTGAAAAAAACAAGCAAGCACACGCACACGGGCATACATACATAAAACATCCACACATGTGCATAGTAAAAAAAAATCAAAAAATATGAACTTTGTGTACTTGTGTGCCATTGGGCGCCGCCATATTCCTTGTGTGGCCACAGAGGCAACATTCGAAAAAAAATGAAATTAGCTTCTTTTGGTTCACTTTTTAATGTTTTTGCATGCCTTCGTTTTAATTTGACTCAACTCAACAAAGAAATTATTGAATGAAATTGCGGAAATTCGATTGAGATCAATAATTATTCATATCTACATACATACATATGTATTTTTGTATGCGAATGCACATTGGCTTGGTTTATCTCTGTCGGCTTTCATTTGCTATATCCATCTACTCAGTCGGTTTGTATCCAATTGAACTCAAATTGAATTGATGATTGCAAAATTAAAAGTGGAATGCGCTAATGTCAATTTGCCTATAAAACCGCAATGAAGATGAAATTATTTGCTAAGCGCAGAAAAGTACACAAGCTTTGAGTAATTAAATAGTTTGTGGGTAGCAAATTAGTGATTAGATTAAATTGTGTGTACACTTTTTCACATAATTGTAGTTTAGCTGAGTTTAGCACTGGAAAACTAGCCATGATTTGACTTCGTAGGATGAAAGAGCCTTAGTGGCCCGTTCTGATATCCCTTTTGAATCATAGTTGTTTCCGATTAAATACGTACATAGGTAATAATAATAATAATAGATTGGCACGTATGTTAGTGTTTGGCCGATCTTCTCCTCCAATAAGTGGCGTGCGCCTTGATGTTCTCACACAAAGGGTTCGGACCTAGAGTTTCACGCCGATTCCGAACGTTGATTGTATTTTTATCAGAATCTGTTTTTCATGGCAGAAATGCACTCGGAGGTTTGCCATTGCCTGGATTGTTCTATATCGAAATCAAATATACCCCTATTTTTTATTTCAAAATCAAAAAATGTCTACAGTTCGCTGAAAACACGCAAAGTTTTCCATGTATTTTATATGAAAACAAAACACAATTTTTTAGTTTCTCTTCAGGAGACTTTCAATAATAATATCCAATGGTTTATTTAATAATCTTTTTAACATTAACTATTTTTTATAGGTTCGCTAAAAACCACAAAAAATACATTTGGGTATATTTTTCTCGGTATAGGACAACCTTGGCGGGCGAGACCATTAAAATTCCGACTTTAATTTTTTTGGATAACCCTATGCACTTAATTTCATTTCAGATTTAGAAACCTATTTTGAATGTTTCTATGTTTTTTTAAATTAATTTTTAGAATTTTTGTTTTACAAAGGAATTTTTATTTTTTTTTAATTTGTTTTTGTTATTTTATGGCCTTATAACAATTATATTCAACAATTTTTATTGGGCTTGAGGCATTTTTTAAGGAAAACTTATTGTGGAAAGCAACTGAAAGAAGTCTGATGAGGAAATGTGGTGATTTCCGAAATAGCTATCACTTCTACCATTTTTTCAAATTATTGTTGCGTTTCCACTATAAGTTTTCATTAAAAAACGGCCTCAAGCTCAATAAAAATTGTTGAATTTTATTTTTCTTTTTATTTTTTTCTTTTTTTAATAAAAGTTTTCTTTTAATTAAAAGATTTTATTGCGTTAAAAAGAAAAATGCTTTTTTAATAGAGATCTTTTTCCTTTTTTAATTTATTTATTTTTATTTTTTGGAACTCGTTTAAGTTAAAATTTTTTATCTTAATTTTTTATTTTAACTTAACTTTAGATAACATTATTTTAAAATAATAAATTCTTTTAATTTAATTTAATTTTAAGGAGCTTATTTAACTTTATTTCTCTCTTATTTTAAATGTTGTGGTTTTCTTTTTTTGCTTTACTTTCTTCTAACTTTAAATAATATTGTTTATTTTTCGAGCTCAATAAATAATGGGATAAATTTAACTTTAAATTTTTTATTTCAAAAACAAAAATATTTTTTTAATTTCATTTCATTTTTAGAAACTTATATTTTTTCTCCTTTTTTTAATTAAGATTTGTAATAATATATACATATATGTGATAATTTTCTTTTAATTTTTAGATATTATTGCATTAAAAAATGTTTTTTTTCTTAATTTTATATAATTTGTTTCCTTTTAAATATTAATTCTTCGTTTTTAACTTAACTTAAGTTAACATTATTTTTAAAATATTTTTTTTTAATGTAATTTAATTTTGAGGAAATTGTTTTAGTTTATTTTTCTTATTTTAGTTGTAGTGGTTTTCTTTTGAGTTTAATTTGTAGACTTTATTCTTTTAGATAAAAATATATTTTCTAATATCACTTAATTTCTAGAAACTTAATTTTTGATCAAACTTTTATTTTCTTACATTACATATTATTATTTTTTCTTTAATATTTAATTTTTATGGTTTTGTTTTCATTGTTTTCAAGTCAGATGCTAGAATTGACAATTGTCTTACGAAAAACTGTGGTGATTTGAAAGGTAGTTGTCGGAACTGTCTGTAAAAGATAATAGAATATGTGCGGATTGTAATAGAAAGCCTAGTTTCGGGTCCATAAATATCGCCACACTGAGAAAAGATTAAGGTTACGTCATATTCATATAAAAATATTTCATGCATTTTTTATATCAATTTTGAGAAACTTTAAAGAAGTAGCATTTTTCCGGAGTAAGTATCTCACTTATGTTATATGCACCAAGGATTCGGTGGTTTGCTAAGTTATGTACACATATCAGAGCTGTGTAATGATTGAATCAATTGAGTGTGCATTCTCATTTTTTTCGTTTAAAAAATGTGATTGTTTGATTTAAAAAATTTAACAACCACTCTTGAGATTGGTTACAAATTCCAAACACAAAATATGTAGTGTGTTATGGAATGGTTGATACCCATTCACATAGAGAATGTGAATGCAAAAAAAAAACTCAATCATGTATGATTGGACGTTTATGGGAATGCAATCTGTCATTATCATTCAGTACTAATACTATTTGTTGTATCAGGGTTGAAATTTTTGTACCCAAAATGTGAAACCAGAAGATTGCCATCTCCCTTAAAATAAGTAAACAAATAAATATTTGGTGCTAAAATATTTTTCTAAGTGTTTGGCCGAACTTCTGCTCAAACTTGAGGCATGAGTTCTGATTTTATAAGAAGAGTTTTCAAGGCAGAAATATACTCGAAGGTATGCCATTGCGTGCCGAAGGACGACTGCTATTTTGTGTTATGATCTGACCAGGTATTTAACCATGGTCCTATGGAGTGGAAGTACGCACATGTAATCACTCTGCTACGGCGGCCGCCGTAAGTACATGCTATACATATCGTCGTTTAAAGTACAAAACCGCGTATCAAGAAAATGCAAAACCGCGTAATTGCATAAATTATTTTCTAGAGAGTAAAGTCACCCATATTTCAAAATGGTTATCTTTTTTATAAAGCAAACGTATTTCTGGCTAGTATATTTCAGGACGAATGGATAAGAATTGAGCCAAGAGCTTTTGTGAGCAAATCCAATTTTTGGCAGCCAATGTCAATCACACGGTTTTGCAGAATGACGATACGCGGTTTTGTACTTTAAACGACGATATATATGTACACATATTAGATTATTTATTCCCAAAATGCATGAAAACTATAGTATGCTTGCAAACAATTAATAACATTTCGTGATAAACAGTTTTACAAATGTATTTGCACTTCAAATTTGTATTTTAATAAAGTATTAATTAAATAAATTATTATTGTAAATTATTATTTTAATAAATAGATATAGAGATATTTATACTTGGCAACTCTTGGACTTTTCTTCATTTGTAACAAATGACAGATGTAAACAAAATAAAAAAATAATTGTATTTTTACAAATTTAAAGCAAACGGGCGTTCTTTACAAAAAAATGTAGTTAGTGATCGAATTGCGCATATTTTTTTTACAATATCAAGTGCCCACAAGAAGTGTTAAACCACTAAATAGCTTAAAAAAACGCTTTCAAAAATTCGAAACGAGAGTGAAGTGCAGTGTTCAATTGTGATGGAAATTGCAGGCAAAATTTGTGCGTGTGTAATTAATGTTTTACTTATTTGAAGAAATGTTGCCCGTTGCCAAACCAAGACCCCCGCTTTCCCCTGGTGGTTACATAATACTTGAATAGCTCCTTAATTAACATGTGTTTGTTTAGAGCACGCACGGCCAGTTAAACAGGCATGTCTGAATCGATTTCCTTCATCATTCTTAGCAATTTGATGTGCATTTTTATTGTTATGTGTTGCAAACAGACATTTTAGGAACTAAATAGGTTCTAAAATCTCTGTACACAAGCGCACTTATTTTTAACAGTTTCCAGTTTATGTAATATTAATCAAAACAGCTTTTATTTATTTTATGTATTATGTGATTTCTGGAAGCGTCGAATACAAAAAAGGGCTGTGACTGGGTTTATGTAATTTGAAATTGTATTGATGATTACTAATAATAATAGAAACGAGCTTACATATCGACACAACTAAAAATTTCATATATCTCAGTAGAGCCAATTAAAGATTTTTTGTTTCGTAATTTAGCAATAATATGTCTTGGAACGTAATTATTCCGGATTATATGCAGTCATACTGTAAGCTTTCAAATTATGTATTTTTCTAAACCTGAAATT